CCACCGGATTAAACCGACCGGCGCTACGTACTTCGATAGGCCACGAGCACGAGTTTCGTTTAATCTCAAGATCGTCTCTCCCTTCCAACTCTCTCCCCCTCTTTTTCTCCGTCGAATTAGTCAGAATCCGATCGCCGACGACGACGACGACGACGACAACGTGTCTCTCCCGCTTTCCACGATTTCGCGAGTCCATCGTTTTTCTCGTTAAAAAAAAGAAGAAAGAAAAAAGATAGAAATACGCGTAAATAGATTTTTAACCGTCTCGTTTCCAAAATTTTGACTTCGCCTCGGCGAAGAAGACGGGCCCGAGGCGACGGCTCGACGAAGAGTAACCGCTTAATCCCCTCGAAACTTTGCCGGAATGTTTATTCCCCTCCCTTGTTCGAGGATGGGAAGATAGGACCGCGAAAAAAGGACTTTACTCGTCGTATTATTTTATCGCCTATGGGCTAGATTAATACGTTTCTCTCTCTCTCTCTCTCTCTCTCTCTACGAAGAAGAAGAAGAAGAAGAAGAAGAAGAAGAAGAAGAAGAGAGAGATAATTCAGCGTGGATAAAAATGGGTATAATTGGGAAGGATCGATCTCCCCACTTGCCCGTCCCACGACGCGATCGCGATTCAATGTAGAATAGAAATGTGGCGAGAGTACAACACGCATGCGCACGAGTCGAGGAGTGCAAAATTTTTTCGCGCGTCCCAAGATACATTACACGATTATTAATGGAAAGCGCGCGTTATTCGAAATCCGGGGCGCGATAAGGCGAGATTAGGGAGGTGCAAGGGCCCGAGAAGAAAATATTAGAAGCGGCGTTCGAGAGGGTAAAGTCCGCTCCATTACCATCCTCTAAATCACGGGCGTAACGTTTTTGGGACGGTGCTAACTCCGATGGGGCGCTCCGATGTTTTTGGCCTCATTAGTAGCCGTCTCTCGGCTTGATGTGGTACACGGAAAAGGGTCCTGAGAGGGCGCGAGAGAGGGCGGGGGTAAGAGGAGCGAGAAGAGGTCGAGAAGAGAAGTCGTTGCCGCGAGAGACGTAGGGAGTTGGTGGAGCAAAGGAGAGAAGGAGGGGGGAGGGGAGGGTGGGGGGGGGAGCTGTAGCAGAGGATACCGACAGTGGCTGCGATTAATATTCCCCGGTTCTAGCAGGAGTTCCGTCGTATCCGCGTCGTACGGCAACCTCTCCCCTCCCCTCCCTCCGCGTTTGCACTTTGAGTCGTAGCCGCAGCAATCCCCTGCCACCTTTCCAGTCACCGCTGCCCTTTTCCAGATCCGCATTACGCTCGATATCCCACCGTCTCTCCTTCTTTCCATTTCCGACAAACGTATCGCTGTGTCAAAATTTCCATCCTTCGCTAAACTGCCCGCCCATTTCTCACTATCCCTGCCGCGCCACGATGATTCATCCACGGCGAATCGATCGAGAAAGACGAATTTACGAATCTCTACACGATATTTCGTGACAATTCGATATGCGATTACTCGTTCTCCTCGAACAAAGAGAAAACCGAAGAGAAAAAGAGAAAAAAGTTGGTTGAAATTTTCGCCGAGAGAGGAAAATACTGGAACTAGACAATTTACTGGTGCTAAAATTATCATCAAAGAAAAGTACGAATATACTTTGAGACGACAAAAAAAAAAAGAAAAAGAAAAGAAAAGAAAGAAAAATGAAACGCGACCGAAATATCGAAAGGATTCTAATTTCATGCTCGCGTCGTCCGACGATAGGGAAGAAATCGAATCCAATCCGACGCGAATCGTCGTTGTAAGATGAAATCGGAGTTAAACGCGAGCTGAGCTATCGGACGTGTAGATTCGAGTGGTGGGCCGAACGGCGCGGCGCACCCATTTTCCGATAGCTAATTACCGTGGATATGCAAGCGCATCCGTTGCAAACGCGTGCGCTATCGCATATACGCGCGATACGCTTATCCACGATGGTTCGATATGCGCCAGAAACGATGAACGCCTCGCTTACCGAACCCGCTGCTGCTCCAGGTCTCCGCTCGAAATCCAAAAAAAAAAAAGAAGAAAAAAAAAGAAAAAAGAAAAAAAAGAAGGAAAAAAAAAACGTATTTTTACATCGCACCGTTCTCCGCTGTGCAAACAATTATTTTGAAAAAGCGTTGGCCCCGAGCGAGTCGATCATAATTATTTAAAGTAATTGCGATGCTTGCGTTATTACGCGTATATACTCGGCTCGATTTAATATTACACAGGGCGTAGAGAGCGTAATTTTAAAGGAGATATTTTGAACGATAAGAGCTATTTTTGATACGGAGAAGATTATTATATTCTCCCGTTTCGGGTAGAAAATTTCACGTTCCATCTCTTTTATTATTCCAGCGAATTTTATATTCGAGCATGATGAAACGGGCGTCCGAAGCAAGAATTTAATTAACGATTCGTGCGCTCGATCGCGTATTAAATTCGCCTTAAAATCGAACCACCGTTCCCATCGCGAGAACAACAGCGGGTTTCGAAACTGGTAGAACTGTGGAATCGATAGACGCGTCGATTTGATACCGGTATACCGAGGCATTTCCAAAATGATCGACACGTGGAGGGTCGCTGGAGGCATCGAAATGTCATGGTTGTGAACGGCGCTTAAGCCGACGCGTTATCGACACGCTTGGGAATTGGAGCTGCTAGGACAGCTGCTGCTAAAGTATGCATGAACAGGGACTGTTTTGTATCCCTATACTCGGTGTGCAACTATTCCTCGTACACGTTGCTACTCGTCGTTCATCGAACTGCTACATTTGTCGCGCTGTTATAGTTACCGTCTGTCCGATTAACTCCGATAGAAAATCTATTTTTTCCCCCTTATTCTTCTCCTTTCGTCTTTTCTTCTCGCGAAATAAATATCGAGCGAGAAACAAAAAACAAATCAAACTCCATTCTCGCGTCGATTCAACCCCGTTCAAGAACTTCATTTTCTAACGCGTATTAACGGAAACAAATCCCCGCTAAACTAAGCTCCGATAATCGGATATCTCTGGCGTTACTCGCCGTCGTGTCTCGATCAATTTCAACCACGCACTTGATCGTTTCATCGTCCAGCATAGTCCAATTTGCCGTTTCCGGCAAACCGCGTAAACGTAACGTGCGCAAAAAATTTCTTGCGTAACGTTCGAATGAAAATTTGCTTTACGATCTCCCTCCTCTCTCTTCCGAAATAAAAAAGGAGAGAAAAAGCGAAAGAAAGCGGATCGCGTTTAAGCGCAGTGCCTACGCAGTGCTATTTCGAGTCATTTCGAGTGAGAGAGGGGTGGAAAGAGGTTTTTCGACGATTACAACGACGAGGGTATAACCGGTGGAGCGAGAGCAGATCGATTTTGTCGGTGCGGCTTTCGACTTTTGGCACGAATAAGTTCCGCTCGGTGGTGTTAAAGTCCTCGACTTCCCTCCAACTGCTCCCAAACTGGTTCGAATCCCTCCTCTTTCCGACAAGGAGGCTAACCTTTAATGTACGAGTCATGTTCAAACCGAAACCTATTTGGCGTAGTTAGGAGTCGTAGAACAGCTCGGTCCGATACCTCCTCCTCTCCTCTCCTCCCCGGTTCGCACGTACGCGCCACTCGAAGAGATCACCGACCTCGGTGGTTCCATGCCACCGAGGAGAATTATACGGATCGAACTCGAGGATGCAAGACACTCGGTTGTAAGCGACGTTACCAAGATAATTGTGTTTCGCGAACACCGAAGGCGGTACGACCGCATTCGATAAAACTTTTTCGACCATCCGTTCCTCCCCACTCCGCCGCTTCTTCGTTCACCCTCCCCAATTCTCGTCTCGCGAACGCGTTACAAGCGGAACGAAGCGAGCCGGCATCGCGCAACGACGCAACTCCGTGAAAACTCCAAGTGGTTTCGTGGTATCGTGCTGCATTGCGATGCATCGCACAACCCCACCCGACGCGACGCCATCGCTACAACTACACCGCTCCCGCCACCACCGCCGCGTAAATAATCGCGCACCTAGCTTCCTCCACCAGTGGAATCCGCCAAATTATCGCGTCCATTTCATTATTCCCGTCCCTTTTTTTCTTTCCTCGCCCCATATTTTATCCCCACCCTTGTTTTTCTATTATCGCAATCTCGTTCCCTGTATTTTCGAATCGAAAATAGGGGCGCCCTTGATCGAGTGGAGAAGAATTCGCATAATTCCCGTAATTTATAACTCTCCTTCTTTCGACGTTATTCGGGGAATACTACTCTCGTTTACCCTCGTGTACCGAAAATATTTCGTGCCGGAACGAGGAGAGGAATATCGGGAAATCGTTATTAAGGGGGAAATTTTATCGGTTATTTTTATTTTTCCACGGAGTGAATAGGTACGATACGTCGCGGTGATAAACAGCCGATGGTAATTTAGGTTGCAGTTTACAAGCAGTCGAATATAATACTCGTAACTGTATACGTATATACATATATCGCGTATCACAGCCAGATCTCTTTCTCTCTCTCTCTCTTTATATATATATATATCTATACGTACAATTTATCTTACTTATTTCATTTATGAATCGAGTCATTTTTACGTATAATTTCGGACCGCTTTAAATTTCGAAACAAATCCGTGGGAAATTGTTTGGCTGGAGTTAAGTTGAAAAAGCGGGTGCGCGGGTATTGTGAAGAGAGATAAGTTCGGCGCGAGCGAACGGAACAAGGTATCGCGTAGTAATCGTTTCCGTTTGAGGGCGTTAGGCGTGCAGGCTGCAGTGACGCCCCATCGGACTGCCTCGTTTCTCAGATCGTGTCGTAGGTCGCTGCCTTAGTCGTCAACGTCTAACGATTATTAACGACCTGCAGTCGTGTTTCTGTGCTTTGACGCGGGGGGGAAAGGGAGAAGAAAAAAGAAAAAAGGGAAATACATAAGCGCGATGGCAAATTTCACGAGACCGGTAAAAGATGGCGCGTGAACGTGTCGCTTAATTTCAGTCCAAAATTAACGAGAGAGAGAGAGAGAGAGAGAGAGAGAGAGAGAGAGAGAGAGAGAGAGAGAGAGAGAGAGAGAGAGTGCAGGTAGACGAGGAAGAGAAGAAGGAGGAAAATTGCGATTCGTTGGGTCGCGGTGGGGGAAATGCATCGATCCATCGATCGCGATACGAAGTTGAGCGCGAGAAGGGAAATCGAGGGGGGGTGGTGGTGGGTTCGAGAGAAATCGATCGTGTCGGTGCAATTATGTCAACAAATAAACGGAACCCCCAGGTATTATACCCATCACGCTCCACCCCTTCTTTGAATGGATCCGAAAGGCAATAGTCTCGGTCGAATCAATACGCATTCGCGTCATGCGATTGGAAACGGGAGTGAAGTTGAGGGAAGGAAGGGAGGGAGGGAAAGAGGGAGCGAGAATGGTCGTGTGCGTGTGTGTGTGCGCGCCCTCTTCGGATCGACACCTCTCTCGTGCACACGTGTCTCGTGCGCGTCGGAAAAACAAGGATCGGTCGAGAGAGAGAGAGAGAGAGAGAGAGCGATGGTGGTCGGTGTGTCGTTGACGGTAAACATTGGCCCGCGCCAGTGTCGGTTAATAACTCGATCGTCGAGGCCGAAGCGAGTCGGAGGGAGTTTCGACGAATCCCCAAAATCGAAGTCGAAGTCCGCCTGTTTTTCGCCTGAAACTCGAACGTTTCGAAATTCGTTCCCTCTCCCTCTCCCTCGTTGTTGCCACCAGAGAAGTGCCCAGCAACTGTTCGGTCTTTGGACGAAAGAAGAAGAAGAGGAATCTAGTGCACGCGTGCTCGCTCCGCGAAGGACACACGTGCGCGTTCCGCGGTCGAAGCAAGGAAACTCGCCGCTTTGGGCGAGATTGCAACAAGTTGCATTTAAAAGCCCTACCTTCCGTACCGCCGGCATACTTTCGTTTTTCTCTTTCCACCGCTCGCTCCGCCTTTTCTTCTTCCCTTTCCACCCCTCCTCTCTCTCTCTCTCTCTCTCCTTAACTTCTCGCCTCCTCTCGCCGCTATTCAAACCCGTGGAAATACCACGTTCGCGTCTTTTTTCTCTCCAAACTTTCTTAATTTCGACGCACGATCATCGAGAAGAGAGAGAGAGAGAGAGAGAGAGAGAGAGAGCAATTTAATTATTACGAGCAATCTCTCGACCAATCGGATCGAGGACAAAGTCCTCGTTGCTCGCCAGATTCGAATCTCCCCCTCCTCTCAGTGGAGAGTTTCGGTCGAGTAGGTGGTCGTTCCCGCGACCGGTCCAAAGATTTTCCTCCACCACCTTCTCTCCTCTTCCACGTTTTCGTCTACGTTGCGATCGTGGCCCGTGATTCCGTGGTGAAAATTAGACGGCCTCTCCCTCTTCAAACCGGGATAGAGAGAGAGCAAGAGAGAGAGAGAGAGAGCTGTCCCGGTGCCAAACCCGGTTATCGTGGCGAGAGATCGGGATGACGCTGCGCTGCTCAAAAATCGCGGAAACTTGGAAATCCGAGTTTTCGAGAAGTGTTTAAAAACGGTGGAGAAGACTTTTAAACCCGTGACTCTGGTTGTGCGAAATCCGCTGCCAGAGACCCTTTCCACCGAGAAAGGGTCTCGACAACTCGACGCGTCTCTCCCTCGACGCGTCACACTCGCGACGACGTCGTTCCGCTAAAATAAACGCCGTATCCATCCTTCCCTTCGCTCCTCCCCCTTGTCGGACAGCTTGTTAGTTGTCGGACGATTCGAGAGGATTGTTTTCGGGGGAGGAGGGAGGAGGAAGGAGGGTCTGGTATTCGAGACGAGAGAGAGAGAGAAAAGAACAGACTTCTGCTAAGTAAAAAAAGTAGAGTACGAGTCGAAACGAGAAATCTGCTGCGCGATCGTCGATCGAGGAGGCGAATACAATACTGGCTGGCGCGTATTGTGCGTAGATCGGTGCCGCCGCGATCGAGGCCGAAGAGGAAGGTGGAATACGATCTATAGGAAAATAGCGGGGAATAATTGGAACGAGGATATCCTGGACAGGCGAAAGTGGAGGTACGGGATCCACGATCGTCGACCAACGAACGACGATGGATCTTACGCTGCTCTTCATCCTCGCCGTGCTCCTCGGACAAGAGGGTGAGTCTCTTTCCCATCTCACAGAAATTTCGATTCCCCGACCGAAAACAATTTAAATTCGATCCTCTCTTCCCCCACCCCCGCCACACTCCTTTACGCTTTTTACGCTCGATTTCGAAAATTTGGAAAACTTTTCGCTTTCGGAAATTGTAGCGGTAGGTGGTTCACCGTTTACCTGGAATAATCCTCGTTGCGTTGAAGGTGCGAGGGAAAACGAGGTGGGCGGAAACGTACGCGAATTCCGACTTTTGCCTTTGAGAGGGGACGAGGGAGAAACGCGAGTTTAAAAATGACACTTTTTCTTAATTACGTTCCGTTCCGTTTCTTTTTACACGTTGTTCTTTCAAGAGGAACCGAGTGCGCGAACGAATGCATGGGAGAGGAGGAGGTGGGGGTGGCGAGAGGAAGCGAAGGAAGAGGAAAAGGAAGGGGAAGAGGAAGAGGAAAGGGAAAAGAGTGGCGAGTAAGAGGGGTCGAGAGTAGGTTGGCTTGGAATTTATGACGTTCCGGTACACGACGTTCCGACGAAGGAGCGAAAAAGAGAGGGAAAATAAAGGGAGGGTGGTTAGAGAGAAGGTGGAAAAATAAAGGAATAAAGATGTATGGAGGGTAAAAAAAATGTATATTGTCTACGCAATGCGAAGAAGGAGAAGATAATAATTAAAACGAGTCCGCTGGATTGCCGGTTAACTCGCGTATAATTACGATTTAGTGGCAGCGAAAAAAAAAAGGAAGAAAAGAAAGAAAGAAAGAAAGAATGGAGGAGGCTCGAATTAGAGAGAGAGAGAGAGAGAGAAAAAGAACGCAACGAACGGTTATATACCGGGGACGGGGAAGAATTGGAATGTAAAATTTTCATACTGTAAACACAGCGATAAGATGATCCGCGGAAGAGAATGGATTGGCATAAATAGATAAAACTTGCATCGAGCACTGTGCGGAGATATGGGAAACCCCCCCGAGCTTTTGGAAGATATCCGCTTTGGGGATGGAAATCGACGAGTTAATTGCAAAGTCGTAGGGAAACTCGGTCACGCGCGTCTGCGTTCATAAATTATCCGTGTTATGGCGGAGCTGATTCTCTCTCTTTCTCTCTCGTTTATCGCGGGTTATAACGCGGCGAAACGATTACGCTCGATTCGCTTTTATGACGGGATAATATCGGAAATGTAAATATTTCTTCGTCGCTCGATTCGCGGTCGCGTTCGAAAACACGAGATTAAACGACGCGAGGCGAAATTTTGATTTTCCAAATTTCTCTTCGAACCGATGGGGAACAATGTTCGAAAAATGTTCGTGCATCGTTGACGCGGAGATCGAAGGAGAGGAGGGAGAAACGTTCTCCCGAAAGAAAGAAAGAAAGAAAGGAAGAAAGAACGGATCGTTTTCGTAAATCGACATCGACGAGGATTCCGACGAGTTTTACGAGCGTGGATCCCGATGCGTTCCCCCGAAATTGTTACGAATAATCGACTGTCGCGCGCGTGTGACTTATCGATCGTTATGCGGCGCGCAAAAATATGAAAAACGATGTTGGATGTTTGCCGTGACGAGACGAGACGAGACGGGACGAGACGAGACGAGACTAGACGGGATGGGAGCAGGTGACAGGGCAGGAAAACGAAAAAGTGATGGACGCGTGTAATGGAGACAAATTGAAAGGAAGGGAAAACGGAGGCAAAGTTTGTGTATATCGCGCGCGGTATCCCTTTCCATCGGGTGGAAAGAGCGATGATAGAGTCGCATCCATCGATTATCAGAAGAAAGGGACGAATAAATATCCGGTCCAAATCCCGATATCGAATTGGAATGGAAAATGGATGGAGGCCTCCTCTCTTCCTGTGGACGGTGGTAAACGGTCGAACGGTAGGTTATATCGCTTCTTTGGTCGCGAGTTGTTCCCCCAGAGCCACCCCCTACCCTGATGAAGATAAAACGGGATAATTATAGAGCCTATCGGGGATCGTGGCGCGGCTAAATTTCGTCGAGACACGCGAGATCGTCAAAAGAGGGGTTGGCAATAAAGGGAAACCGGGTTTAAGTAAAAAGGAGAGAGAAAGAGAGGAGGAGGAAAAAGAAGAGAAAAAAAAGTAGCGAAGAGGGAATAAACTTGGCGCTAGGGAAGTGAAAAAGGGTTGGGGGGTGGCGAGAGGAAGGGAATTGCCGAGAACGGGATGTCATTAATTTTTCATACAGACTTGGCACATCTGCGTTCGGTCGGCTGCGCTCTGCAACCCCGCTAATTATTTCTGGCTCATCATTTTTCCTCCTCGTTTCCTCCGCACTCCGTCCAACTTGCCTCCGTCCTCTTGCGGTTTCTCTTTCACCTCCTCTCTCGAATATCGCGCAACGCTCTTCTCCCTCCCTCCCTCCCTCCTTCTCCTACCTCGATACAAAACTCGTATTCTCCTTTGATAAATGCATCCGCGGTATCGTCTTCGAGTCTTCTTCCTTCTCCTCCTCGTCGACGTCGACGACGACGGCTCATTTTCCATTGAAAATGGAAATGCGCGCTTATTGACGGATCGTTATTTCACAACAGCATCGTAATTGACCATCTTCGCAACCACCACATCCTTCCTTCCTTCCTCGCGATCCAACTACGATCGTACGATCGTACACGGGCCTTCCTCCGTTATATCCTCCTACCTGGAACGAATAATCGAAAACATTTTGATCGATCCTCCTCGTTTACCGTTTCACAGTTCACGTAATCGCACGATCTCTTGGCTCGGCTACACGCACCGCCGACTCGTAATAAACTCCTCCCTCCTCCTTTCCAACGTTTTACAACGTTCCCCCGTATAACGTGAGAAAGATACTGGAGAAAGCGGGATTCGAGAGATCGAACATCCGGCGGCGATATTATAAAGATATTAAGATCTGAGAGAGAGCGACTGTGGTCCATTGTAGCGCGTGTCCACGCTACACATTTTTCCCCGTTGTTGTCCCCGTTGATTATCCTCTCGGCACGTTAATTAATAGAAGGGTGAGAAGAGCGGCGCGTGTTTTCGTTAGCGAAATCCGATGCGCGTTTTATATCCTCGATTACTTATCCCGGACACCTAGCCGTTGCTTCTTTATCGGCTCCCGTAATTCAACCCGTTCTTTCCTTTCTCGAGCTCGAGCGCTCTCTCTCTCTCTCTCTCTCCGATAAACCAATTCGTTTACCCGAGCGAAAGAAGATAGTACGCGGGGAAAAAATTGTCCAAATCTTCGTTGCCTCGATATCTCGATTATTTTTATACCCATTGTCCCGGAAATACGGTAATTAGCCGTGCATATGACGCTCGTTCCTTTGCATACACACGCGAAATCGATATGGTGCTAATTTACCAACCGAATTCGAATGATTGCCGTTGCATTAAATATTCACGTTGCAATCGCCGCGCGCCGTTTTGGGACGCGTTCGTGCGGTAGTAATTTTCAATTGCAGGCTAAACGAAATATCGTGGCCTGTTGTCGCGCGAAACAAACGTTAACGTTTAAAGCGGCCGGCGAATTTAAAGGCCGTCTAACACGCCTAATGGAATTCGTGGAAAAGGATCGCTATCGCTGCGACGCGATTTATTACGCTGCTCCCAAAAAAAGAAGAACAACTCGTTCCTCGACGCCTCGATTTTACCATCTCTTTCGCGGCCAACGAATTATATACGAATTATATTATTTCGTATATATATATATATATATATATATATATATATATGTATACTATAGGAAAGGG